AAAAGAAGAAGAAGAAAGAAAAGTTCTCCATTCATAAAAGTCCCTTTTCCCACTTGACATAGAGGGGGCGATACTACAGAGATCAGAGTAAAGGAAGACCTTCCCTTCTGAATGCCAATGTGTAGCATGAGTAATTAATTTTATGGCTAGCAAGCCTCCAACCCATCCAGCCTGAAGACCTGTCTCTGTCTCAAAAGAGACAATGACCTAGGAATCATCAAAGATCAAAACTAAATTATTTAAACCACTCTCTGCTGTGAAAGAACAACATTCACATGTATCTATTTATTATTCAACAACAACAATAACAACAACAAAAAAATATTTCATTTCTCACTCGAAAAGAATTCATCGTTCCTGTAGGCCATTGTTCTGATTTGGAGTGATTCATCACAGAGCGACAACACGCTGATGATGTGTTACGCTAATACATCCTTACATTGGTAATGCTCTAATGATCTGGCAAGCTCCTAAATCACCAGAGAGCTGTCACTCCTGTGATGTGTTACTCAGAGATACGGCTCTGATCGGAGGAAGACATCCAGGAACTCAACAATGGGAGAATTATATTTTTTGACTTCAGGATTTCTCGACTATAAATAATAACCTCTTTCATAGGAAATAGAAAACGCAGCCTAAAAAAAAAAAAAATCAAGACCAGCAGCAAAATTTCTTATTATCTTGGAATATGCCAGAGATACAAAGATAAGCACCAATATTAGTGGAAGCCTTGGCCGTGTGATGGAAGAGGTCACTGATAAGAAAATAATTTCTGAACTATCAATGAGTGTGCTGAGTCTGTTTCTGAAAGGTAATCAGTTGGGTGCTTACGGATCCGTTTATCACTGATGTGGATTTCATCAATGCCCTAAAATAAACAGTGTTAAAACCTAAGTCAAGAGAAAAATGACACAGTGAGGAGAAAGGTACCCTCTTCACCACTGTTGGCAGGAGAGTAAATTGATATAACCTTTCAGAGGGCAATTTGGCAATATTTATCAAAATTTAAAGCACGTATACTCTGGGCCCAGCAATTTCATTTCTAAAACTCTATCCAGAAGACATATTCGCACATGCACACAAAGATATACACATGTAAGAACATTTGCTGTAGCAATTGTTGCAATTAAAAAAAGGGGGGGGGGAAACAATCTAAATATCCATTAACAGTGGAGTGTTTAAATATATCAGTATGTGTATCCATTCTATGAAGATTATGTGGCCATTAAAAAATTATGATGTGAATCAATGGCTTTGAAAGTGTTGTAGAGAATTGTAGAGCTGCAGTTGACAGATATCTGCGTGAAGCAGAATCTCTCGGGGAGCGAATAAATAACACAGAGGCCAGGCGTGTTAGAATAAGACCTGGGCCTCTGTATTTTCATTACGTTTCCTGGTTGGTTGTGAGATACATTAAAATCTGAGAGCCACTTTTCTAGAATAACTCGGAAAGGCATCAGAGATCCTAGATCTTCACGTAGGCCTCATCCAGAGAAACGTGTGTGTGTGTTTACTTACAACTCTGCAAAATAGTTTTTACAAGGTCAAATTGCTTGAAACTAGCTTGAAACTCATTGATATAGACAGATAGCTAACATTATTGAGCTCTTACACCATGCCTCACAGTCATTCTCTAATTCTTGTGGCAACACAATGAAACAGGTCACATTATTCCTCATTTGGCAGTTTAATAAACTGAGGCATAAAGAGGAAAGTAAATTCCAGCAGATCAACACATCAGGAGTTGGGCTATGAGTCCTGGGCACCGTGACTTTAGAGTCTGAGCACTCTGCTTTCTGACCGCCGTATGTATGTAAATGCATGTATTTGTTGACTTGGAAACAGGCTCACAGTACATCAGTGTTTTAAAAAGCAGGTTAAGGGACCAGCAGTTAGCGTAATGGCTATGTCGCTGGACTCCCATGTAGTCGACCACGGTTCAAATCCCGGACCCAGTGGCTTAAACCCACGCCAGGCGCGTGTGCGTGCATGCCCAAGATCCCGAGAGGACAATGGAGGAGAAGGGATTACAGCGTGGCCATCCCCCCTGGGGGATGATTTCTCGCTTTTTGTCTCTCTGTCTCTCTCTGTCTGGCGAGCGCATGCACCCTATAGCGAAAACCTCTCCAAAAAAAAAAAAAAAAGCAGGTTAATGGGTCAGTAGATGGCATGGTGGTTTAAGCACTGGACTGCCACATGGTTGACCAGAGTTCAAGTCCCAGACCTGGCAACTAGCTTTCTCACATTCTCACTCTTTCTCTCTCTCTCTCTCTTTCTTTCTCTCTCTCTCTCTCTCTCTCTGATGAGTGCACAAGGTCTATAGCAAATTTAAAATAATTTAAAAAATCAAAATAAATCATTCTTTTAAAATGTTTTAAATAAAAAGTAGGTTAATAAGTATAATAACATGTGCAATTAGATACCATTTTATTACATATTCATTGAAAGGGATGAATTTTTTATTTCTTATAAAGAGAAGACAATGAATCTATATCCAAAATGAAGACCATGAAAAGCCCAGGTAAACCAGCTGGAAAATGTATTGTAAAGATTCTGAATTTGGTATGTTCTATTGTTCGAGGAACAGACTATGTCTCTTCTTTAAGTCATACATGGTTAGGCTGCCCTTTGGGAGCCCATATGTACGAGAGCCATTTTTGTGAAACCAGCCTGTATTTTTGAAACTTAGATACACTGGGGGTTAAGGTACTACCATCAAGGAAGAAGATCCTGTGTGAGCTCCATGCAGGCAAGGATGCTAACTGTCTCACTTCCCTTGTATCCTCAGAGCCTATTCCACGGTAGACACACAGTGTGTAATTTATAAATAGTAATTGAGTGAATAAGTGAACAGTATAAAGATAGAATGTTTTCTGAAAGGGTATATACCTGTGTTGGTAAGTATTTTTAAGAATGAAGTAGTTTCCATCATGCCTCAATAGAGGCATGACTCAGCAGTTTTCTTGCCTTTGCTCAAGTCATTTAAACTAGATAAATCAACTTAATGGCTATTTTTGGAATCCACAGGTAGAATTAAATTGAACTGACTCAGAAGCCAAGGGTGGGGTGGCTCAAAAGAAACAGCAGATGTTTCTCCTTTTTACAGGGAACATGCAAGTTATGAGAAGGAGAAAATGCACATTTAAAAAAGAATTTTTAAGGGACATAAGAGTTTATAAATCACATGTCAGAACACGTAGTATAGGCTGAGTAGAAAAAAGAGGTCAGCAGAGTCTAAAAGATTTAGCCTTTAATGATGCTCTGTAAAAATGGCATTGGCCACAATTTTTTTTTTAAAAGATTTTTCATCTATGATATCTAGATCAGTGGTTCCCAACTACTGGGCTATGGCGAATGAGCCATGAGACTATCAGTGAGGTGACCACATTTTGACCAACATGATATTTTTTTGAATGAGGGTACAATTCAAAGTACACTCAGTCGCAGCAACATCTGTCTGATGGATGGTTTCATTGTACAGATAAGAAAATGTAAAAGATGGTCCAACCCACTGTGAACAAGAGTGAAGCGTGAGCTCATGCAGGCAAAAGCTTTGGATTGGCAATATGTAAGAGAGTACAGTCAAGGCAGTAAACAATTCTACTCAAATAGCAGGACGTATGAAAGGGTGACCACTAATTACTTCACAAACGCTGGGAGACATTGTTACACTGTGGTAATTATTACATTGTAATTATTCCTAATTTGTTTAAATGTTGTTTTTTAGTCTCCTAATCACTCCAAGAGGGCTGCCAAAATTCTAATATTCAAAAGTGTGCCATGAATCCATGAAGTCTGGGAATCACTGATTTAAGTCCTCCCTACTCCAAGTTCTGTTTCAGATTATAGTTTTGCCTTTGGAAAAATGCATTTTAATAATACCGGGCAAAGCATGTGTAGGCTATAAAAGCTTATGATCACCTAGAATTGCTTACATTGAAAAGATACTTTTTAAAAATTACTTTTTAGGGACCAGGAGTTAGCGTAATGGCTATGTCGCTGGAATCCCATGTAGTCCCATGCGGTTCGCATCCCGGACCTGGTGGCTTAAACCTCACACTGGGCGCATGTGTGTGCATGCCCAAGATCCCAAGAGGTGAATGGAGAAGAAGGGATTGTGGTGTGGCCATCCCTCCTGGGGAGTGATTTTTCGCTTTCTGTCTGTCTCTCTCTGTCTGGCGAGTGCACACACCCTGTAGCAAAAAAATTTCTCCCCCCCCAAAAAAAATTACTTTTTATTCTGAAATAGTTTTAAACTCATGAGAAGTTGAAAAATCATGTAGTGTTCCCATATCCTCCTCACTCAGCTTCCCCCAATGTTAATATTTTATATACCCATGGTACATTATTAAAATAAGGAAACTGATGGTACAATACCATGGATTCAAGTTACACTGTTTATTTTTAAATTTTTCTCTTTTTGTTTTCTTTTAATTTGCTGTGGGGCAAATGTGTTCATGAGAGAGAGAAAGATAGAGAGCAGGAGAGAGAGCCAGAGAGAAAGTGAGAAAGCAAGCTGCTAGGTCCAGGATTTGAACCACAGTTGGCCAGGTCAGGGTCCAGTGCCTGAACCACCATGGCACCTGCTGGCCCATGTTCTCTACTTTTTAAAATATGTTTACTATTTAAGTATTTCTAGTGTTCTATTAAATCAACAGATAATAATTATACATATTAATGCAGTACAGTGTGATATATACATATACATATATATATAATGTCTAATGATCAAATCAGGGTAAATATCATGTCTATCACCTAAATATTTATTTGTGTGTGTGTGTTTAGGACATTCAAAATCCTCTCTTCTAGTACTTTAAATTATATAATAAATTATTGTTACATATAGTCACCCTACAGTATTACCGAACTCTAGAATTTATTTCTCCCTCTAACTGTAATTTTGTATCCACTAAGCAAACTCTCCCAACCCCCTCACCTCTCTCAGCTTCTGGTAACCACTATTCTAAACTCCATTTCCATGACAACAACTAGGAATATTAGTATCCTATGGAGTATGAGTCAACAAGTTTTATGAAATAAATTCAACTAAATTTTGAGATTCTTACAAATCTTGAAACACTTGATTCCATATGTTAAATCAGTCAGCAAAGGTAAGTAGAAAAGTTTGGTTTGGTATCTGAAAACTAAAAAGGAATGCTATATTGAGCATCTAGTATGTGCTAGCCAGTCATTGGCTAGTGCATCAGACATACCAGCAATCCCTTCAAACAGATTACAGACCAGAGGGAACTATAAACAGTCATGGGTGGGATAGCAGGAAACAAGCTGTGATGTCTCTGAAGAAACACATCAGAACAGGGACTAGCAGTTAGCGTAATGGCTATGTCGCTGGACTCCATGTAGTCGACCGCGGTTTGAGTCCCAGACCCGGTGGCTTAAACTCACACCAGATGCGTGTGTGTGTGTGCCCAAGATCCCAAGAGGAGAAGGGAGGAGAAGGGATTGCAGCATGGCCATCCCCTCTGTGGGGTGATTTCTTGCTTTCTGTCTCTCTGTCTCTGTCTTTCTGGCAAGCGTACGTGCCCTATAGCAAAAAAAAAAAAAAGAAAGAAACACATCAGAACACATAGGAAAGACAACTAACCTAGATTGGGAAATCGTGGAAGGTCTTCTAGAGAAAACTGAGACCTGAAAAATTACCTGGGAGCTAGCCAGATACAGAAGGAATGGGAGAGAGTATTCTAGGCAGAAGAAATAACCTGGGCTACACCCCAGAGGTGAGACAGAGCATGTCTAAAGGACGGAGTTCTGTGGCTCGAGCCCAGCACAGGCAATGAGGGACCAACCCCACAGGAGTACAGCCAATGCGGTCTGCAGCAGTGCTGTCCAACACTGGAGTCCCAGGCCACACATGCTACTGAGACTTGAAATGTGAGGCTTCACCAAGCTGTGCCCTAAGCGCAAAATGCACACCAGATCTTAAAGATTCGCTACCAAATAATAATAATAAACTATCTCAGTAATTTTTACATTGGCTTCACTTAAAATGAAAATATTGAGTCATTGGAAAAGTCAGGAGTATTCTTGTTTTCCTATGCAAAATATGTCATGACTTTTCTGACAACCCAATATTTTGACATATTGAGTCAAATCCAATATATTATTCAAATTAATTTTATCTATGTCTTTTCACACTATTATAAGCTCATTTACTTATTTTTTCTGTGAGAGAGACAGGCACCCCAATAGGGTCTTCACACTGCAATCCACCCCCAGCCTTGGCCAGGATGTGCATGCACGCTCAGCATGCACAGAGAGGCCCAGGGACATGGACCCAGGACCTTGCCATGCATGTCCATCACAGAAGAGGGTTGCATTTCTGCTGTGCCACTGGCTCCTCCTTCTTTTCACATTTTGAGTGCAGCTACTCAAAGATTTAAAATTCATTTGTGACTTAGGTTATATTTCTACCGGATGGTGCTATTCCAGAGAATCAGAGATGACCTCCCAGGGAAAATATTATTCAAACTAGGATATGTAAGATGAGAATAAGTAAGCCAGCAAGTAAGGAAAAGAAATAGTATGTGGGAAGGCACAGAGTGAAAACTGGAGAGGTCAACGAGAACCCAAAAGCACAGAATCTCCTAGGTTAGGGTGAGTGTAAACTGTCACCTGAGGGCAATAGAACCATTGAGGAATTTTATGAAAGGGAGTGACATGATAGATTTTTAGGCTAAGAGGAGATCGTTTCAACCAATGGGAGGGAGCAAGAATGAAGTAGGGGAAACAAGTTAGGAGATGTCAGAGTATTCCACGGCTAAGTATCTTTCTGCCTGCCTATCCCTCAATTCCCCATGTCCACCCTGAGGCAAATTCTATCAAACATATGCCCTACAAAGGGTATAGAGTCAGGCCAGAGAATACGTGAAACGTTACAAGAAAGCCTCTCTCAGGACGAGCAGTTAGCATAATGGCTAAGTCGCTGGACTCCCATGTAGTCAACCGTGGTTCGAGTCTCAGACCCAGTGGCTTAAACTCACGCTGGGTGCGTGTGCGTGCGTGCCCAAGATCATGAAAGGAGAATGGAGGAGAAGGGATTGCGGCGTGGCCATCCCCACAGTGGGTGATTTCTTGCTTTTTGTCTCTCTGTCTCTCTCTGTCTTTCTGGTGAGCTCACGTGCCTTATAGCTAAAACCTCTCAAAAAAAAAAAAAAGCCACCTCCTCTCTACCTCAATTTCCCACTTAAGTCATTAGAAATAAGACCATTTCTGGATAAAATTCAAAGCCAATACATTCCAACTCTTCGGTTTCCCACGGGCATATCAATTCTCTAGTTAGGGGATTTCTCAAAGAAGTACCTTCCCAACCCTGCTGACCAGTTCCAGCTATAGGCTGACTGAGTGGCAAGCAAGAGATCCTATCAATCAATCAGAGAGATCAGATAAGGGAAGAGCTGGGAACAGAATCAAGGCAATCAAACTCTATCCATGGGCTTATATTGACCATTGTCAGCCACATAGTTTGGGAACAATTTTAACCACCAAATCCTCAATTATACTTTTTTCCAGGTTGACTTTGTTGCTGTTGTTTATCATTCTTATCACTTTGCTATTGTTGGGGTTTGGGTGTTGTTTTTGCCTTCTTTCATTAGTTTCAGTTTGAATCATCTTTGAGATATTGTATATATGGAAACTGAAGTTGGAAGTTAGGTATATCATTTGTCTACCAGCATCCTATTGAATGGATAGACTTTTTTTTTTTTTTTGGAGGTTTTTGTTATAGGGCCGACGCACTTGCTAGAAAGACAGAGAGAGATAGAGACAGAAAGCGAGAAACCACTCCCCAGAGGGGATGGCCACACCTCAATCCCTTCTCTTCCATTCTTCTCTCAGGATCTTGGGCACGCACACACACGTGCCCAATGTGAGTTTAAGCCACAGGGTCCGGGAATCTAACCACGGTCGACTACATGGGAGTGCAGCAACATAGCCATTACACTAACTGCTGGCCCCTTGAATGGATACACTTACCAAAAAAAACAAAAAAACAAAAAAAAACAGCCTAGAAAGATAATGCAAAGACTGTATGCAATAGTGCTATTGGTTAGTACCCCTTAGTGTAAAAGTATGGAATAAAAAATATTTGCTTTAAAAGTGGTAATTTATCAGATGGGTCATGGGATTGGGAGGCAATCTCAATTTTGTCATTTACATTCGATTTTGTGAGTATGCATGGTGGGGTTTGTTTGTTTTTTAGACATGATCTCTCTGTGTTGCAATCCTGCTGCCTTGGCCTCCTGACTAGCTGGGATTAAAGACACACACTACCATGCTTTTCAGGGTGGACCAACCCTCTCATATGACCTCAGCCTGCCAAATAGCAGTGTCCAGCACATCCTACCATAGCTGAGCCCATCCATAATTTGGTTCTAGGTTTTAGGACAGGAAGATATTCATGCTTTATTACTGTAACTTTCTAAACCAATGCTTATGAATCAGTTACAATCACATACACCGAAAAATTAAAAACTATAAGAGCAGAATAAATGGAGCCCCGTGGATTCTTGGAAAATAGGTTATCTTCAGCTGAGAAAATGATCCTGGATGGAGTCATGACATTATGCTGGAATCTCAGTTCTGTACATTGTTTGGCATTGAACATAATAGATGCTATAGGGTAATAGTCGATGTATATTCTGTGAGTAAATTCCCAAGATACATGTAAAGGCAAAGAGCCCAATTGGAAGGTCACACAGAACTAGTATATGTGAATCTTTAGACATAGTGGGTTATATTGAAAGGAAAAAAAATCAGTTTTAGACCAATCTACTGTTTTCATTTTTCTTTCACAAATACCAAAAATAAGCCAGACCAGGATTTGTATCTATTTAAGATCAAGCCATCTGGGCTAGCTGTGCTCTTGCCTATTCCACGCAGAGGCATGTAAAAGCATGACCACCCATTGAGCAAGCCCCAGAAGAGGCTCATGCTCAATATACTGTGGGATAGGAGAGTGTGCAGATGATGACCATGACAGAAGGACATCAACGTGACCCGACTTATGGATCTGTTAACTTTTATCTTAATTTCTTCACTACAAGTAGCTTTGTCCGACACATGAAAAACTTTAAACAAAATTTCATTTTTAATTTTTCATTAAAACCTGAAAGATGGGCCAGCCAGGTGAAGTGGTAGTTAAGGCAGCTGAATCCCACATGGCTGTCTGTGTGGTTTGAGTCCCAGACCCAGAGACTTGAAAACACACACCCAGTGCATGTATGTGCATATCTAAAATCCTGAAAACAGAATGGAGGAGAAGGGATTGTGGCATGGCCATTCCCAGGTGGAGTGCTTTCTCCATTTCTCTGTGTCTCTTTCCAGCAAGCACACATGCCCTATAGCAAATAAATTTTAAAAAGAAAAAGAAGTCATGAAAGAAGGGATTCTATAGCCTGTTTCAAAAATCCTCAGAAAAGGGGGGAAAAAAAAAACAAACTACAGAAGCAACAAAAATAAACTTAGTAGTCATCTGGAATACAGAAAATAAAACAAAATCAC